ATAACGAAAAATAACATAATATATAGATAGATAACTGAGTGGAGACGAGTTTCACTCTGTGAACAATGTGAAAAACAAGCTTGAAAGAAGTAAAGATTGGACGTTAATAGTTCCGAGCTTTTTCTGTGCTGGTCCAATGCCGTTCGTCTGACTCTAACCACCAAGCTTTTTATCCACTTTTCTCCACTCTTTTGTTCTAACTCCATATAACCAGCTTATTCTCCTCTCTTTATTTTGTTTTTCTTTGACATTTTCACCAGGTTAATGGACTGGGATTTGATTGTGCTCGATTCTCGTACGGCTTTCAACAGATTTTTTATTCTCCTCTCAATAAAAAAGACGAGAATAAGGAGAGCCTCTCTTTACCTCAATGGGAGACGAATGAGAGGCAAACAAGCCAAAAGGATAGAGGAGAAGGGATTTCGGGGGTAGGAAATATTGATAGGCTTGGCTTGGACTGCGGAGTCACGCTCGAGTAGACGGCGCTCCGTCGATCCTCCTAACCTTATACACGTTATACGGAACCAGAGCGAAAGAGGAATATATGTATAGTAGATTTTGATGGTACAGGCAACCTAGAGCGACTTCTCGTTCCACTCTCAACTGTAGAAAGAGCAGCCTCAGGGTGCAGATCGATAAGGAAACTCTAGCTTCATCCGAGGGAGATTTTACGCTGAGTCTAGCCTCCTGCGTATTCTCTCACATACAGTAGTTACTTTGGTTTAACTACTGTCAATAGAAAATCATCAATTTTCCAAGATATTACTAATCAGCCACGAAAATTATAGTCAGTACTTAAGGCCATGTAATGATGAGCGGCGGGTGCGTGTAACAGTTGGTAGAAAATCTGTCGCTGACAATCTCACTCTTGGGAATTGTATCAATCTGTCAACGGAGGTGTCATTCGGGCAAAGTGAGATGGAAACACTGGCTTTTTCATGATCGAACTTTCTATCGGACGGGTCAATCTTTCCAATGCGCACAATAAGGGCCCGTGCTCTTCCATTACTTCCATATCATTTCGCACCCCTAGAAGCGTGCTCAGGCAAGAGTGCCATATGGCTTATGGGGTCCGATGTGATGCACACGTAGGACGGAGACAGAGGAGAAGAGGAGAAGAACGCATCAAAAAAGAAAAAAAAATCAAATAAAATAAGAGATATTCAGTCAATGAATTCACACAAGGGCGCCAGATACTTTCATGCCACTTTTGGGCATTCCACACCCCTTGCTATAGCGAGTTTATCTTCCTGTTCATCTCTTCGGTTATTAAATTACGCTCCCATAAATAACCTCGGGCTACAATTATTCCCAGATAGACTCTACTTTTTATACTTATAAATATAATAGAAGATGAAAAAAGAGATTTGAATTTTCTAGCGAATGAACAAGGATGAAGACCCATATCATCAAGATGATACATATGTCTCAAACAATATGGTGTCTAGAGGTTCGTTAAAGCAGCCATATTTGCGAACCCTCCTTTCACAGTGGCAAAGTACTCTCTTCCAATGGTGGTTGGTTGAGGGGTTTGGTTAGAGGGATGTATATCGTGCTGGCGACGATATGTTGTCGATGTGGCCAACAGACCAAGCTCTGTATAGTAGTGATACCATTATATATAGCAAGCACCGTGTGTATCCATAACGCTCCTTTGTGTCAAGATAATGTAATTATTACCGCGTTTCATCATACCCTCCAAACCAAAATTAGCCTCAAATGAAGTTACAATTACGCTTCCGACGTTGCTATTCCTACTCCTACTCCTATACTCCTACTCCGACATTTCTCTCCATCTCATCCTCAGCCATTGTACTTGTGTACATATATATATATATATATATCTCTATGTATGTGTGGGATGCTCTCAGCACCACCAGGAGTACAAACAAACCCAGGAGTCTAGAAATTGCCGGGTTGCCGTGGAAACGTCAGAGGACAGACGGAACCGCGATGAAACCGGATGGTCGGCCACGCTACACCCCACCAACAGCGTTATGCCTTGGTCCCTTTGTCCCTGACGCTGTGAAATTCACGGCAAGCCAGCACCGGAGAACGCCACACTACCAACTATTTCATACTCTCTCCCTCCTCCCTTACCATCCCTTCGAACATTTTTCTCAATATTTTTTACAACTTTTATACATCGAAAGCCAACTACTCATTACGCTATTACGTAATTATTCAATTTCATTTTCTTGTTCTGGTTTTTCGACTAATTTGAGGAAGGAGATGGGCACTTTGCATCAGGAGAAGAAAAAATTTCAAACTGTTTTACATAAATATATACATTTATTTGCATAATTGGCTCATACAATAATGAATCATCCAGAAATGGCACTGACTATATAGTTTCTCCACGGAGATTAAGCATTATATAGAGTAATGTTTGAAATTTTTAATTTCGATGATATTGCCCTTTTCTAATGCTTATTATTAAAAAATAAAATATATATGGTTATCGATATTGAAGAGAATAGAGTTTGATTCCACCCTATCGGGGGTTACGCCCGCTCTACCCCGTGGATGATATAACGCTATTGGCCGTGGCGGGCAAAATGACGGCGTCAGCCGCCACAACTCACCTCCCTCCCGGGTCCCTTTGAACCTCCAACCACCCCTGTACTGTGTCGGAATTCTGGCTCTATTGGCAGGAGAGAGATGGAGATAAAATAATGACGTTTGCAAACGCAACCGTGTCGCGTACATCCCGTGGAAAATCGTTGGACACGCATGGACAGCAATATAAAGGCATGGCAAGGGATGGCAATTCGTTTTTGTGAGAAATAAAAAAATCCGAAATATGTGAAAAAAATATTTAACGTGGTATTAATTCTCCATCAACAGTTGACTGAAACAGAACAGCAATCTGTACCAGAGAATTTTCACTTGGCACTCAAATACATAGAGGTATATTCATTCAGTATACATCTAGAACTATTGACAGAGGGGAATAAAACAGGACAGTCTTGGGCTGGGGTGCCTGCCTTTTCACTAAAATACGATGAACTCTATAATGGATCATAGATAGAGTCGTCGAGGGCCTTTTGGTGAATCCGACCGAGGGTCCCCACTTATATATATATATTATTATAAATCGTGTGTTACATTGTGCTTAGGATGGTCGTGACTGTTGACTCCGGGAGTTTGCATTGTTGGCTGAACACCTTTTGTGTGATTCTCTGTGACACACGCACACAGCAAACAAACAGCCACTCGAGCACGCAGGCATTTAATAGTATATAGATATATATATATATATATATATATATATATCTACAAGTTAATATAGTTGCAGGGATCAGCAGCTGTTTATACAAACAATGGATTTTGCATTGTCGAGGGGGGAAATGAACACCTCATGGAAACTTGATCTGTTTATTTATTAATACTGTTGTCTCTCTGACTTTATTATAATATATTGTTTACTGTGGATGGTGGTGTTGAAGCGACAATGAAAAAACAAAGAAAAACAGGGTCAGGTAATTTTGACTCGCAAGTTTACCATAATCAAGTTAAAGTCGAAACAGTAAATTCGTTGGGTGGTGGCATTGTTCTCAGTGTACATTACTATGTCGAGAGTTCTCGTTCAAAGAGGTGTGGTGGGATATCAGAGTACACCTTTTCCAGCTATTGTCCTTTAATCCAAGCGTCGGGCAGAGTACAATGGGCGAAAAGCCAGAGTCTCCGTATTGTATCCTCCTGTTCTGGCTCTTGAAATGGTAGATAGAGCCGGAGACTAGGTATGCCTTGGCTTGGTCCTCAGAGACACGTTACGACCACCAACTTACGCAAGCATCTGTCCGTAGAACCGCTAAATTCACCCGAAAATCCTGAGATTTCGGATATGTCCCCCAACCACAAATCCTCGACAGTATAGTACCTAGTTGTCCTTTCTTCGAATTATCTGAATCTCCTCGAAAATACCATTGAAATTAACATTCAAGTAAATTTTTTCCCAACAACTATCAAGGAAGAAAATTGATGGCTGACTCTATTTTAAGGAGACAAATATCTCAACGACGGATCGCGTTTTGATATTACGGATGCTACATCTATAGCATAGCTATACTATGAATTGAAGAGCGTAGCTCGCGCGAGCGCTCGGGTGAAATGCGATAAAGTTAGCGTAGAGGTAATTTGAGTATAAAGTTTTATTCGCAATAATTTAGCTGAAGCGCTGAGGGATAGAGAGGGGGCGGAAGGTTCCCCGGGAAGCGGCAACGCTGGGTCATATATTTGATGGGATACTTGGCATAAAGTCGCGCATAAAAGTAATGCCAACATTAAAGTTTGTGGTTCCAGAACAGAGCTTTGGCTGCTATACACTGCCTTTCTGCGTTATTTTTGTTCCATTTCTCTGATGCACTATACCTAATATTAATATTATTGTGATGCACCGGCTGATGGCATCAATCCCGACTCGATTATTATAGGTAATCCAACTATTGACACTATTTTACATGTACATAATTCTTTCATATTTTTTTTTCTCACTCGAAAAGGGTTGAGGACTGAGATTAACAAAAGTGTTACTGTTGAGGATAGTTAAGGAGTCTAGTTCGCAAGTAGACATTTGGGAGAAATCCAGAGGCCTCGCGGGAGTCATACTTTCCGTCTTCCCCTATAACTTTGTACCACTCGCTTATCAAATGTGTATACCCAAAGAAACTTGCTCATTGGTTTGATAAAAATATCTCATAATTACTAAAAGTGAACAGATATAAATGAGCAGGAAAAATGTGAAAAAAATGGAAAAATATCAAATGAAACATCGTGAAAGATTATGTATATACTGACCATCTGGCCGATCTAATGCAGTAAAACAGCTTTCGCGTATAAATGTTATACTTTTTCAATTGAAGTTTATATCACCAGTGTAACTAGAAACTCGTTATTTAAAAATACTAACATGTTGATGGCCTTTCAATATTGACAACAGTATGCAGTAATAGACAAAGACAACATATAATTATATTATTCAATAAGTTACACATAAGTTGCGGTTTATTAACGAGTGGACGGACCCAGCAATTTAACTCACTCCCTCCCTTCCTCCCTCTAATATACTGTGAAGGCGTGCCACGATAAGGATCGTACCTAATTGTTGCGAATTGGCGAAGGTGGTGAATGAGAGGGCGCGAAGCCATATACACTCACGAATACGAGTCGGTGGCTTGTTCCATGGGCAACAGGTGTCATCTGATTGATCGCCGACGCTCGCGAACCCCCGCGATTACCTAACCCGCAAACACATCGCCACGGGAATCGTCTAAATGTCGAGACATTACCACCGACCATAACATGCGGTACTGCTATGAATGTGGCTATCAAATTATTTCTCTCGTACAATTTGTTGAATTTGTTGACTGTGAAAAAAAATCCCAAGAAGGAAAAAACGAAAAGAAAAATTTACTTTTCGCGCACATTCAACACTTGACAAATATACATCAAAGATAATAAGCAGTTACACGCAAGAATGAATCCCGAGTTCGTTAGTCCCTTGAGTTAAACTGTGATTATGATAACTTTGCGCCGCGTCATCGACGCCGCTCTCTGTCCCATGTTATATATATATGTGTGTGTGTATCGGCTGACGTGCGAAGTGACCCGCGTAATCTTAATTAATGATCGTAGCAACCCTCCTCCCATCCGCAAAGCCGAAGCGAATCGAGCGCGGACGTGCCATTTATCATTGCAATCTATGAGCATATGAAATGTCTAAATTCACGACTATTGGAAATCTATTGCAATATCGATTGTATCCTTTCCATTATGTTTCAGCATTGTAAGGAATAAGGCAGCAGAAAAAGCGAAGCACGCCCATCAACAGCAACAGGCACAGCAGCAGGGTCAACAACAGGGTCAACCAGGTTCAGGTGGTTCGGTATCAGTGATAGCGCATGCACCAGCTACAGCAACTGGAATTCCAACAAATGCGACTGCACCAAATGCCTACAGTATTAGTGGTATTCTCGGTATTCCCCCACACCATCAAGATCCTAATGGCAATAGTATCAAACGAAAACGCACTGATGATGGTGAGCTACACACCATTAAATCATTCATATCAAATTTTTCCAATGAATAATATTATATGAAGAGAAATTTATATCCACTGGAGTATCAGTCAAATGTCCGTAGAGAGCACACGTGTTGCCATTCATTTGGCTGTCATTGCGTGAATCAGTATACTATACATCGATGCGTTCAAAAATATTCATGGCACGTGGCAACTCCGCGCGATGCAATTTTCTTTTTTTTTCTCTCTTCTTGCTGAACGTGGTCTAGGCAAAAAAAATCCCCTCGGATTAGCAATGAATTTCTCCTGAGATTTCTATAGTTGAAACATGACAATTCAACATCAACTTTTTCCACTGACCTAGCCAATTTGTTTTGCTATCTGGCCGTCGAATCTTGAGACATTCACACCATCGCGTCGAAAATTTATAAAGTCTATACGAAGAGTGACGTGCATACGGGTAATTCGATATAATTTCATTATGAATGCTCTGTGATATGCGATTGAGGGAAGTGGCGGTGGCGGCACGAGCGAATGCGGTGAAAGCACTCAATGCTCTCCCCTCAGGCAAAACACGGCGTCGCAGAGTGTGTGCGGTTCGAGGGTGTAGGCATGCATTAGATTATAAACTTCACACAGACCACAGCCCCTCGGGCGTTCTCTATAATATTTGCGAGGCGCATCAAGCAATAACAACGCATTAGCTCGGCCTTTTCCTCCTTCTAATATCACTGCACTTTCCATTCTAATTTGTAATCTAACTAATCCCACTTGTCGATTAAATCAAATGAAATCAATGATTCGTCTCTTTTGTTTCTTCACTATTTTTGAGTGGTCATTAAATTCAAGTCTATGTAAAAATTTGATCATTTCCAAACTAATTACACGCGACCGCTATACGAGTGACTGTCGGTTTTTCTTTTACCGCAATCTCACCTCGGTAACGAACATTGCTACGCTTTCTAATTCTTGAAAGTAAAAAATAAAAGAATAAGAAGAAGAAGAAGAAGAAGAACAAATGAAAATCAACAAAAACCAAGGCAACAGTTAATTTTTTTGATGAGAAGAAAATTTTTACGTGCTCATATATTTCAAGAAATATTGTCGCATTACATTTGCCTTCTTATATCATTATATACAGAATCCATATACCCTATTGCACATCCCCACACGAAATCTCCCTCGATCGGTTTGCTTTCAGCCTTGCCTCTCCCTCGAATTGACACACACACACACACACATACGCACAATAACGATACAGTGCATGTACACTTGAGAGGTCCACCATAAACCCAGGGGTCCAGATTCACCCCAGAGTCCATTATTACCCATGTATTGTATTGCTCAACATTGACTCAATTGCTTTCGAATAATGTCAGAGTGAGTGAGATCGAAAGAATATAATATGAGGGAAAACTACCCCATACGCTCTCCCTTTTTTTCATTGTATATCAATCGAATTACTCGATTTACTGCTCTTTTTGGCTATACACATCCATAACTTGTCCCAGCACCCGGACCAGTGCCAGTGCCGATCGAGTCCTTTTCAAATTTTGTTCTTTGTCTCCCCAATTTTAATCTGAGCAAATAGTTGACCACTGAACATTAATTTGATTTTACCTGACCGTGAATGGGTCCAATTGAATCGCAAGATATGAGAAATAGCAAAAGATGAAAGAGAAAAGGAGGAGATGAGTTTGGATGGCGCGTAATGGGTCCACTAGTAGGTATAGTATGTATAGTATACATATATGGAGAGTGGGCAGGGGATTTTATAGCCAGCTCGAAACAAGCTCGTAGTGGTGCACACACTCGAATCAAAATGGCCCCGGCGGGTTCCGTCGCTCGGACAATCACAACTTGACAGGGAGGTTTAACGAGCCCTATGCTAGCACTCGCGCTCTCTCTCTCTCTCTTCCTCCCTCCCTCCCTCCCTCATCCCCTTCTCCCATCCCTCAGATGGTCATTTAATTATTCAGAATACCTCGTACGCGAGTCACCTCGACATGTCCCATTCCCCTCTGTCACTCGTATTTCGGACCAATCCCCTCCCTTTCACCCCTGGTGGAAGCTATACCTTTGTTCTCCTCTGTGGTCGGATGATATCACTCCCCTCTACCTACCCATATCCCGTACACTCTCCCTTTCTCTCTACACGTAAAACATCCCTCATGTCTGTTATTCTATATTAAACTCCCTGGGATCGTCGCCAGATAATAAAGACATGAAGCATAATGGAATCGTAATTGTTTCTTCTATATATATTAATGTCACATAGAGCTCAACTGAGAGTAGCTCATACACTGCAAAGGACATGTTACATGTGCAGAGAGGGATAGATTCAATTTCAGCGATTCTATATTATATCTCGTGCTTTCATTTTATATATTGCTTTAAATTTTTTTCGCGCAGATGACAATAGAGATCTGAGCGATCATGCCGAGGATGACCTCAAAAGACAACGGAGTAATTACAATGGAGATCAACTTTATTCCAACGTAAGCATAGAAAAAATGGTTAGGGTCAGAATCGATCAATTTAAAATAGATAATGGTGAAAAAATGAAAAAAACCTCAATTTTCAGTTATGGTCAAACAAAGGGTGGAGTATCAAGGATGAGCATAGTAAGTTGATGAATGAACTTGGTGGAGGTGGTGGCGGCGGTGGTGGTGGAGCTGGAAATAATAATACACAAGGTGCCAACGGTGCCAGTGGAAATACCGGCGGTTACTACGAACACGGTGGATTCCCCGGGAATGCCATTGCTACTTCGGCTGAGCTGTATGACTCCCTGGGAACCATCAGTACTATGACGCAAGCGCCAACATCCCACCTTTACTCTCCACCCATAGGGGGCACCATAGGTAAGTTTAATGAGAAAAATAAATCATCAGTTACTTTTGAATTCTTTGAATTCTTTGAAAAAACAAAGGGATACATGCATGTTACATGTAGATTGTTGTAAGACAAAATTCCCCGAATTACCTCAATTTTCAACGATTATATCATTAGATTATATTCTTTTCTCGTCAGTAGTCTTATTTTTAGAGTGAACAACTCATGCCGCTATAGAGTATGTAGTGAAAAATAATTGAAGTAGCCCTGGGTGGTGGGTGATGATCCTTAGCTCCTATGAGTGTTTTCGGTCTATGTGGTTTATACGGCGGCGGGTGGTGAACCGAGAGCGGTCGTCGCCGTGTAACCATTGAACGAACACGCGAAAGAAGCCAGCCGTGTAAGTGGCAGCACATCTCATGAAATTCAAACTGCGCTACCGTCGAGATGGTCTAAAGAATTTGTTCCTCTTTCTTTTTTTGCTCTCCTTGCTCCGTGGTTGTTCTCATCTATAGCCTCCTACAGTCCCAAGCAATTGAAAAATCCTCAACAATAAATGAAACTAATGCAATTTCCGGGGCTTGTTAATAATGGCAGGTGGAACATTGACGCCGCTTGCACCATTGTCGATGCAAGAACTAAAACTGAGCCAAACACTGGATGGGGCTAATATGTCCCCTTATCACACAAGCGGTGAGTTGATTACATTAATATGAAAATGTTTGTGTATATTGTTTCAAATCTATTAATATGAAATGTAATAAAATGCTTGTTGTCCGTGTCGTGTGTCTTGTTTCGCAACCTGTGTACCTACTATATAATGTACAACCAAGATACATATCACTTTCCAATTGCATATCTACCATATCGAGTGGCTTTATCGTACAACATATTTCATGTGTTATATCCTCATAGATTATCAACTTGGAAGTAACACTTTCTTTGTCAATAAACGTGAACTGTCATAGCCCCAGGCTAACTAAGAATAACATTTTTTGAGGATTATAACACATGGCCATTATCTTAGCGTGCTTTGATAAGTTAGTTGCTCAATACATGAATGTTGTGTTGTGTTTTGTGCATGATAATACCAGAGGCCAGTACCGTCGCAGTTTCATATGTCGGTGTGGGAGGGGGTGGGGGCGAACAGAGTCCTCCTGTTTCCATTCACAATGAGGGTAATGCCACCCCCGCGGCCACCAATACACCAGGAGGTGATCAGGGTTTAACGGTTCTTCAATCACCAGTGTCGCAGTCACAGGTTGCCTCAACAATACCACCGTATTCAACCATGTTGCCGAGTTTTGGACACTATGCGACAGGTCAGTAATAAGTCAAAAGACAGGCTTTTTTTCTCCGTTTTTCCTGTCTTGAACGACTATTACCCATTTCTCGCAGCAAATTGAGTGAGTAAAACCCAGGAATGGCCATGATGTGTGATGTTTAGTAGCATAGTCATTCATCACTTTTTTTTTCACTTTGCTTAATGGAGGACTAATGATTATTATCATTTCTCCCGATAACTGATTTGCCACAATCTAATCTATGCGTTTGATTAATTCATTTTTTCTTTATCTGTGTGCTCAGGTAGTGGAGATTATGCCTACAGTGCAGCGTATTCTCAATACTCAAGTGCACCATACAGTGGATACGGTTATGGGACAGCGACAAGCGGGTTGCTCAGTAAGTAAACAGTGAGTATGATAATCGATTAGGGCAGGGTAGAAAAAAGAAAAACATCATCCGTAGTGGTAGAAGAGCCAAAAATATTGACTAAAAAAAAACAAGTCAAGGACAATGTAACGTTTGAGTGCAGATATGAAAATGATTATTAATTTTCCTTGTTTTTCTTTTCTTTTTTTTTTTTCAATTTTCTTCTCCAGACTCGACGTATTACTATTGCAACGGGGATACGCTGGCGTCTTCCCATAATAATTCACAGCAGGGTGGATGTAACAACGGTGGACCGGAGAGTAGTGCGGACGTGGCGAGTCGTTCACCATTGGCTGCAACGAGAGCAAGTAGTGGTGCTAGTGCTGCATCACCAACCGGAAGTGCCTGCACAAAACCGGATCACACCAACACCCCCACAGACCTGTACCTGGCTTAATTCGCGTGGCGATGCGAATGGTTCGTTCCAATGACGATGAAATACCAACAAATGTGTCATGAGAAAGAACGAACGCCATATCACAAGATTTAAAAAAAAAACAAAAAAAAACCAATTGAAATTAAGTACTGATCTCTAGGAAGGGCACGAGGTGATGAAGCAACTTCTGTTACATGCTTTTCAAAGTCCTCGATGTCCTATCGATATGAATACTATCATTATGATTATTAGTACTATTATTATTATTATCATCATCATTACTACTATTATTATTATTATTATTATTATTAATACAATTTTTTTTTTCTTCGACTTTTCTTTTCGTTACGACAAATTCACGTCGTTATGCGCAATCACAAAGTTTTAGCACCCAACCTGTTGGTAGTTTAATTTATAATTCTCAATTAGCATAATTTTCTACGCAGCTATATCGCAATCAAACACTCAATTCCCAACGTTAGGTCTGTGCTACATGAGCCACAGTATTCACGCAATGCAAGTGCATGTGAAACAGCAACGAGGACTCTTACTCTCAAGGAGTACTCTCTGTAAACACAATGGAGGAGTTACATATCTTTTTTCAACCTTGTCTTTTGAATAGCCAATGCAAGGAATCATCTAGAAGTCTGACGATAATTCTATTACCAAATAATCCTCGCTGCTGGCTGTTCTTTTAAATGCTTGTAAATGGTTGCATTCTCATATTTTGAACTTATGTAGCACAAGCCCAATATGATGCGCGATCGGGCTGTCGCCGCGCACTTAGCCTTCGAGTCTTCTATTCATGTTATAACCGTACGCGCATAGTAGGTGTGTGGACACGCCTATTATTTCCGAGGAGAACGTCAACACACGCTATATATTTGCACCAATGTTTCATTTCTTTTTTACTGCGTAGGTGTAAAAATGTCTATACGAAGCCAGGCGCGTAAGTACCCTTTATTTTTTTCTCATTTCGAACGATAGGCAAAATTATGATTTTTCTCTCACGTTTTTAATGAAGTAAAGTAAAGAAAGGGGAACTGAAGAAATCAATACTGAAAAACGATTAACGATTATTACCATTTAAGAATATTATATATTTTTTGTAGAAAAACCAAAGACCATACAGGATTATGAAGTACTTTATGTCACATTCGGCATGAGACAGAGTTAAATGATGATCATTACTATATAATGGATAATAGAGCTAAAATACTTACGATAAATGTGATTGTAAATAAACATACATAACCGAGAGATATATAAGTATGACCGACGCAAAAAAATGAAGGAAAAGATGAAAATCTTATTTGCAATTTATAAACCAAAGCGACAAACTTGGGGGATTAACTGAGTTCTTTTGGCAAGAGCCAATCTATGGAGCCTTGATTTCCACGCGGATATTCTCTCAACTAATTTCAGAAAATTATGAATGCGCGATGAAATCGATGCAAATATTCCGACTATTCAACATTCAAGCTCAAAGTCTCCAAAAGTTTGCTCTTTCTTTTTCATCTAGCCTGAAATGTTCATTTTTGCAACAATTTGAACGAAAAACTAGAAGAATCCCCCTCCCCCCCCCC